GTGTATATCACTTGACTTGAGCATATCTTCGAACCGATGCAGTAACCTTATTTCCAGGTATGGGTATGTTTACAGCGTTCGAGGCGTTTTCTCAATATGCATCAATTGCATCTTTAGGACCTGCAAATCAAAGACGTAGGTTGTTTTGTTCCATTCAAATGATATAATTTCAAAATATGTTTGCAGATTTTACTGCTTTTTATTTCAAGTTTATTCTGCATAAATTTGCGCACTGTAAAATACGTACACATGCGTCTAAATTTCTCTTCCAAACTTGCATTTTTTCCTTTTGATTCAAATCAATAATTATTCAGAAATATGATTATTATGTTGTTTGTTGTGGTTTTGAAATGTCTTGATCACCTAATGTGTTCTCATGTTCTTTACCATCGGAGATGTGCACAAGTCGATACCCAAGCCAAAAAATCATTCAAGTGTAACGACCGCATTGGGGTATATATCGACGTTACAAAGAGACAATGTATCTGAAAGAAATATGGCGGAATACGGCTATAGTTGGTATGAAACAAGTCGTACATAGATGAAAATGTTGCGTTTTTAAGAATTCATGTCAGCTTTAACTTGATTTGTTCGATAAAATGGTTTCACCAGTGTTACTCTATGGCTGTGGAATCTGAAGTTTTGAAAACCTAGATATTTTTGAACGTACTCATCTCTAAGAGTTTTGAAACATATTTTGTACTTGAAAAGTAGTACCCCGAATTATGTCGACAAAATAGATAAAGAATGATTGGCAGTTTTTGTCATGACTTTATTGATGAATAGTCAAATCAATCATCAATACAGTCAATAGTCATAATCAATCATCAATACAATCAATAGTCAAAATCAATCATCAATACAATCAATAGTCAAATCAATCATCAATAAAATGTATACAATGATGTACACAAGGCATCTCTACAATGATGTACATAAAGTATCAATTCAATGATGTACACAAAGGTGTATATTGAATAATTAATACACAATGGGTACAATGATATTCAATGATATGCATTGATATGCAATGTTATGCAATAATATGCAATGACTTTCAATGATATACAATGATATTCAATGATAAATGAATTGCAATGAGCAGGTAGCAATGTATTACAAAGACAATGGTCTACGTCGACTTTATCAATAGTATATGACGTAGAATCAATAGCAATGGCACAATGACGGAAGCTCAATTATTGGCCACTGGCCCTGGAAGATAACAGGATCAGCAGCGAGCTTCTAGCAAAATTCGGCCATATGTCTTCACATGGGAGCTAATAAAGCGTGGCATGTGAAGACATCCGCCACATGCGGCAATTTTGCCCATGCCATGACAAAACTGCTATTAATTATAGTTATGCAAAATTAATTACTGCTTAATATATATGCAGTATACCGTAGAACTAGGGAAATTTTATATGAAGATCAATAATATATGTAATGATCGATAACTTTTCAATAGATCAATAGTTGCAAAGATCAATAATATATGTAATGATCAATAACTGTTCAATAGTTCAATAGAACAATAGTTGCAAAGATCAATAATATATGTAATGATCAATAACTGTTCAATGGTTCAATAGATCAATAGTTGCAAAGATCAATAATATATGTAATGATCAATAACTAAGTGGAAATGGTAGGTAGCACTGCAAATTTTACAAATTATTTTGATTATGTCACACTGAATGGTATAGAGGATAATGGTAGGATGTGCTATATGGGAAAGGTGAACACCCTCTGGATACAATTTTGATGAGCCCTGTTGAATATTGGGGTAGTGAATATACCCCCACCCCTTGTGGTAATGATCCAGTATAATGAGCTATTTATCCTAATGCAAGCCTTGTGTGGCGACATGGGCCTGAAATAATTTCTTGGCAGTATTTGTGACCCAATAAATTTTAACCTTGGTATTAAACATAATTGAAAACAAGACAGTCAATTTCATAAACTTTTGTAGATGGCAAAGGGACATGGAACCAAAACTATTAACCACAATGAATCATTATGACATGAGGGTTGTTGTATTAGGACGCTAGATTTTGAATATTTGAATGGTTGGACCTTTTTCCAGGTCATTCCTTGTTGACCAAACCATCTGATATGGATGTTGTATTGTTCCAAGTCCAATTCGCATTATCTAAATTGATGAATGTGTGGTTTTTTGCATAATACTATTTAAGATGATCCAATAATCCATACCATGACAGAAGTGCCTGCAATCTTAAGATAACTTTAAAAACAGTAAAAAGTGTTGTCAAGTGTCAGACTGACTAAAATTGAATGTAAGTCTGAAATGCATGGACTTCCAATAAACCATACCATGATTAAGTGCCTGTAAACTTAATATAAATTAAAAAACAGGAAAAAGGTGTTGTCAAGTGTCTAACTGACTAAAATTGAATGTAAGTCTGAAATGCATCAGCATGGACTTCCATCTCCCTTTAATCTTTATATAATCTTCAGACAAGCCTGATAAATTCAAGTGTGTAGCACCCCCAATTCTAATGTATTACCCTTAAATGATTTAGTGTCAAAGCCAAGAAATGAAATAAATTTCTGTAGCATTTAAGTAATGGAATGACGAGAAGGCTTCTCGCCAAATTAAGCAAAAAGCTGAACGTGGAATGTTGGGTCTAATTGACAAGTAGCTGTGAAGTATTTTAAATAATGAAGATGTTTCTTGGTTTGACAAAATGTGGAATTATGCTTAATTATGTATAATTATGCTTTTGCATTTTTTTTATCAATCAATTAACTTAATTATATTTATTTGTCTGTCTATTTATTTATTTATATTTATTTATTTATTTTTTTTTTATTATTTTTTTTTTTAATTATATGTTTAATTGTCTATTTATTTATTATTATATTATTAACATATTTTTTAAATTATGGGCTAAAGCTTCATTGTGAAATCTTCAGCTATATGCCACACTTCCTGATAAAACTTTACTGTTTAATGAAAATTGAATGACATATGCCACGGCATTGAGCAATACTGCATTTGAAAGGTGGGCTTTTTGAAATTGACAATAATTGGCCAAACCAATTTTAACTCTTTACAAATGTGCTCTGGGATGAATATGTTTTGGCATAATTATTTTTGTTACTTCATACGAATGTATTTCCGCCATATCACGTGTATCTTGTATATTATTTTTAAATTTGTATATATTGTACATATATTGCTGAATCTCATGTACCATTTATACGGTTTGAGTGAATAAATTGAACTTGAACTTCAACTTGGCTTGTGGAATTTTTAACTAGAACAAGAAATGTTAAATTAGTGGTTGGGCCTTCAATTTTAACCTGAATTAATTGAAATTTCTATTTCCTGACAAGTTTGTTAGTGTTTAGGTAGTTTCTAACACGCTAAGGAATCCTTGAAATTTATTTATTCGTTTATCTATTTTATGTTAAATCTGTTGTGTGGCCTACAATTTTAGGCTGATTTAAGGGGGCCGACTATAGTTTTATTGTGTGAAAACTACAATATAGCGAAACTTTTCATTTTTATACCATATATAACTTACATTAACTTCAGTGTATATGCAAAGTTAGCGGGAAATCTACCGTCCAGGTATTTTTGACATCACAATATACACAAACTTCACTAAACACAAATCTTACCAAATCTATGGTATATGAACCTGATATATGGATGGTTCCCTTCTCAATCAGTCATAGCTTACCCTCAACTCTCACACTCCCTGATCTGTGACTCTTTCTTCAAAATTATTTCTCAACCAGTGTAAAACATGGAGGCACAAACAATGGTGCTGATGATCGAAGTGATGTCAATGCCGACACATGTTTACAGGGAAGCCATGATGGATGGAATATTTTGCAGTCCGAACCCGATGATATGTGACACCGATCTATGTCGTGGCGGATCCAACAGGCACCTGATCACTGCATATTGGTAATGTCCAATGTATGTGGGCACCATTTGTAAACGTTGGTTTTAATAACAACGAAAAGTTGGTTTCGATTTCACCAATGTATTAATACACTGAGGTTATGTTCGCAAACAAGAGTTCATCTACTGCGATGGTTGCTGCACACGTGGTTAATATCGTCGTTGGGGATGTTGATACTTTAGATATGCTATGATAATATTCTCACATCGGGTAATATGGATGGGCGCTTAGTCCAGGATCTATTTGCCCTGATTATGTTCATATTTCCGACGTTGGACGGTCAAAGGAACACCAGATGAAGATGAATATTGTTAAGACTAAACTCGATGCTGAGCTTCAATGGATGACGGAAGATGGAAAAGAAGAGCAAATGCACATGCGTAATGGATGTGGCTAAATGAAGTCAGTGCACTTGAGTGAGAGTTATCTCCCCTGAACCTTTTATCTCTATTTGTCTCCATAACGGGACTTAACTCATATTGAGTTAAGTCGGATTATATGTCTTATGGTGAAACAGCACGATTAATTCCTATTATCTGCCTTGGCTTATTTATTCCAGAATAGTCTCATACTGGTGTAAATTAATGAATAGCCCAGAAAAGAAAACATGTATATAATATCAATATTTAATTGCTAATTCACAATCTAAAATAGGTAAGAATCCTTGATTGACTGTGTTCACCATATTTTTTATTCCTGTGGACTGTGTATAGTATCTCATATTTGAAATGAATATTTTTTTTATAATCTTAATCAAGTTACTACTGCGTTTAAGCAAAGATGACAGGATCTAATAAATATACAATATTTTTTTATGGGTGGCACTGTAGCTTTCCGGTCTGTCAATATATTGTTTTTGGAGAGCTTCAGTTCTGTAGCTAAAGTAAAACACATTTAAAGAAACGCACGAGATTTCCATGCATATTAGGCCTTCTTAGCTCCTGATCTTTCTCTTAACGAAAGTTACAATTTGGTCTCTGGATCATTTAAAAATTAACTCACATAGCTATAAAAAGATTTCACAGAGAAACCAAATAGAAATGGAAATATAATATTATAATGAATATCGTTTATAAAGGGTGTCAGATGGTGCAAGAAAGAATCTGGGACATTCAAGCCCATCAGCCTACAAGATTCTCCCATTATGACTTTAGTACCTAGCGGCCAAGATGGATGCACTCAATTTTCTTTAATATTTTATCACATTACACAAAATGACACAGATCTGGAAATCATGTGTGATATGAAAAGCTCTATTTACGATACTGAATGTCGGGAATATAGTAATACTCCGAAAATTTTGATAAACACAAGCATCGAAACCAAAGGTTTTGAATTTTATTTACAGCATACATAGTTTTAAACATAGAAAAATTCCAAATTGTAATAATCTTAAAGATAATATTGTGAATTTTGTCGAATTTTATATTTTGTAATTTTTAGGCTCAATTTAGTTAATAAATTTCTCTTAATTTTACCTTGAGTATCTTTAACAATCATATATAGTTTGAAATGCGAATCATTTTGTAAAGCAGGCAATGAATGGAGATTATCACCAATAATAATATACGACAAAGATGGCATCATTAATTCACATAATTTCACCATGCAAGGAAGTGGTAAAACAATTCAACTACTTTGTATGGCATCTACATTCTCTGCACCAAAATTGGCGGTAATTTTTATATCTTTTATGTTTTCTCCTTATATTATGTTAAAAGTATTTTGCTTTTGAAAAGGTACATTCTTAATCCAATTCTAATAATTGAGATGAATTAATATAATTAAAATATACAAGAGTGATTCTTTTAGAAAATTGCATTGCATATTTCCTAGCCGTTGATTTATAGCTCTATTAGTCAGAGACCAGAAGAGCTTATGCAATAGTAAGGTCGTCCATAAATATCTGTCTGTATACAATTTATTCAAGATACTCTCCTTCCTACATATATGGTCTGATTTCAATATAACTTTGAACTGAAGTAGACTACACTAAGATACATAATTCTATTGATTGGATTTTGATTTTGATGAACAATGCTCAGTTGCCACCAAGGTTTCGGAAAACAGAAATTACTGTAAAATACATTATAATATATAATAGTTTTAAAACTCCTTACTTTTTGGTATGGTTTTAGTACATTTTGGCACATAAGTAGCCTACAATAAGATTCATCATTCTGTAATATCGATTTTGATTTCAATAAATAGTGTTGCCACAGTAAGTAAAAATAGAATTTTCTGTAGAAAAGTCTTCTAAAAGGCTTCTCCGTTTACAGTTTTAGTCTGATGACAATCTCTCCATGAAAAGAGAGTACTTTAATGATGTTGTTTATTGCTGTTACAAAGATTTCAAGTCCACTTGCTACTTTTCTCTTCCTTTTGTTTTATTAAGTATAAACCAGTAGAGCTTCATGTACATTCTCCACAGAGACTTCTGTTTATTATTAGGTATTGAACTGGTGTGTCAGAAAGAATGACCAAGTCATCTGGAACAGAATAGTTCTTCAAGAAGAGGAAATAAAAGCTTTTGGAAACGATTCTGTAGAATCGGTAAAATTCAGCAGGATAATCTACCATATGACACAATACGACAGAGCAGTCCATTTCCGTTGTGAAGTTTCTAAATCTTCCTTGAACGCATGTGGAACTGGGCTGAGTTTCGTTAATGTGACAATATCGAAGAAAGAAGGTATATTTTTAAAATATATAAGCATTTTTTTTTTATCTAAATGCTTGTAAAAGATTATTATTCATACAGTTTATAAAATACCAATTTTTGCAAAACAATCTATTTTGCCGTGCCGTGCACTGTAAATATATTTTTTAAAATAGATGAAATCCTGGTCAATCGAGGGTGAAATTTACTGTAGACTGAACAATTTCAAAAGGTATCCTTTGTTATAGTTTCTACATGAGACTGTATCTAGAAAAAACGGAAATGTGCTGAATTAATCACAGCATCAGTAAAATGTGAAAATTTAAAATGCAAAAGTTATATTTCATATAATATTTACATGCAGGCAGGCATTCCATTATGTTGTACAGGTAGATATTTTCTTTTCAAATCATTGTCACCTGGGTACATGAAGAGGATATAAATATTTGAGAAAATCATGAAAATACCCAACTTTTTGTCTGATTGAATTTGCAGATTTTACGACTGTGTTCATGCTCTGATTTACACAAAGATGTGATGTTATTCAATGGGGGGGGGGGCTTTCATTTTTTCTCTCTACTAAGTTTGCATTTTATAAATTTTTAGTTACTAAATAATAGCATATTACTAAATAAAAAGTACTCTACCTCATATATGTTGCGCCTGCATGAATTGCCCTGGGTTATTCATTTTATGTATAATTTTTTTATGCAACTTATTTGAAGACTTTCAATATCAAATGAGCATTCAGTATTCAAAGTGTTTTTTTTTTTTGTTATTGCCTTTCTATTTTCCCATGCCCGTGCCATGTGCTTTAAATTATATGAATATATGTTTAAAAAAGACATGTCGCCCGAGGATCACAGTGATAAAGCGTCTGCACTAGAGGCGTGGAGTAAGGAGTTGATCCTTACATCGCGGTGTTCGAATCTCACTATAGGACGTGGAGACATGTCCTTCGGATGAGATCGTATAAACCAAGCTCCATGTTGTAGTAGATGCTGAAACGAAAAAATCTCTCACTGCTCAATGGACCACAGTGCCGAGTACTGTATACTCAAAATTTGTAGCTTTCCACTGGCAAGTGGTGGCGTCTTCATATGAGTGAAAACATTTTTAGATTGAAGTTAAACAACAAACAATCATTTAGCAGTTTACTTAAGTTAGAGGGAGATGCATTCCGCGAAAGGCATTAAATGAAATAAACATCTAAATGTAGGACGATTACCGTATATTTCACTAAAAGTATACATCATTTTTATGGTGGTATTATAACTATATAATAGTAATCATAATCAAAATCAATTTTTCTTTAAAGAAAAAAATCCAATTGCTACTGAGAACCAGAGAACTGTTACTGCTGGTACCACAGTATTGTCACTGACCTCAACTGAAAACCATATAACCAGTACTGTAACAGCCTTGGCTGCCTTCTCAGTGTTGCTATGTATCCTACTGGCATTAGTTGTTCTGTTTGTGATTACGACATATAGGAGAGAGGAAACTACATTATTTGGTAGTGTTTCATATTTATTAGTTCATACAGATTTTTACATTTTAAATGATTTTTAGCTAACCTGAGCCGAAGGCTCAAGTGAGCTTTTATGATCAAAATTTGTCGGTCATCTGTCGTTGTCGTCGTTTTTGTCGTCGTTGTTGTCGTAAACTTTTCACATTTTCCTCTTCTTCTCCAGAACCACTGGGCCAATTTCAACCAAACTTGGCACACAGTATCCTTGGGTGAAGGGGATTCAAGTTTGTTCAAATGAAGGATCATGCCCTTTTCAAAGGGGAGATAATTATGAATTAGAGAAAAATTAATGGCATTTTAAAAAAATCTTCTCCTCAGGAACCACTAGGCCAGGAAAAATAAAACTCATGTGGAATCATCTTCAGGTAGTGTAGATTCAAGTTTGTTCAAATCATGACCCCCGGGGCTAGAGTGGGGCCAAAATGGCCGACCCAAATTTTACATAGGAATATATGGGAACAATCTTTAAAAATCTTCTTCTCAAGAACCACTGGGCTAGGAAAGATGAAACTCATGTGGAATCATCCTCAGGTAGTGTATATTCTAATTTGCTCAAATCATGACCCCCGGGGCTAGGGTGGGGCAAAAATGGCCAACCCAAATTTTACATAGGAATATATAGGAAAAATCTTTTAAAATCTTCTTCTCAAGAACCACTGGGCCAGGAAAGATGAAACTCATGTGGAATCATCCTCAGGTAGTGTAAATTCAAGTTTGTTCAAATCATGACCCCCGGGGCTAGGGTGGGGCCAAAATGGCCGATCAAAGTTTTACATAGGAATATATAGGAAAAATCTTTTAATATCTTCTTCTCAAGAACCACTGGGCCAGGAAAGATAAAACTTATGTGGAATCACTTTCAGGTTGTATAGATTCAATTTTGTTCAAATCATGACCCCCGGGGCTAGGGTGGGGTCAAAATGGCCTACCCAAGTTTTACATAAGGATATATAGGGAAACCTTTTAAATCTTCTTTACAAGTATTTCAAAGCTATAATTAGTGATATTTATATGGAATCATCCTCAGGTAGTGTAGATTCTAGTTTGTTCAAATGATGAACACCTGGGGGGGGGGGTTAAATTCAAGCCCCCACTCCTCAGACAACTTTCAGTTCTGATCTGATATGTGCTTTTTCCTAGCTGATGTGCTCAGGTGAGCGCTGTGGCCCCTGGGCCTCTTGTTCCCAATAACCATAGTTGTGTTCATTAACAACATTTTAAAAATTAATGGGTATGATTCTAAAAGTGGATATTTTTTTTTTAGGTTTTATAATCAAGATAAAACAGTAAGTAATTTCGGAATAAAATTTCATGCATGGAAGGGATAAAGCTTATTCAGTTTTGACTTAAAAATGAAGAATTGATTTTTGTTTGATTGTAAAATGATGGGGACAAAATAACATATATATATAATAATTCATGATTTTAGAAAAAATAAGGAAACTGAAGAAATACAGAGAAAAGGGAAGAAAATAAACAACTGTAAGGAATTTGGATTGTTCTACGAACTTTAAGTAGAGTAGATCTTCTAATTCAATGTTGTTTGACAGTTTTCTGTTTATGAGAACATTTGAGAAAAAAAATTAACAATTCCAGTAAAATTTTATTTTGTAAATTAATTTGTTAAAGTAACTATCAAATGGGTATTTTTTCTCTTTTATCCACAGCACTTTCAAAGGAGAGAGGGTTTGTATTTTGTTAATACCTTCAATGTTTTCAAAATTAAAACGACAGCTATATTATCTCATTGATAATTATTACTGCCATATGATATCTGTTTGAAATATTTTCTCCTTACTCAAAGGTATTTGTTTCAAGACACAGTACAACAGATATATCACTCGATAGTTTAGTATGCCCAATGTTAAATTGATACATAACTTCCATGAACATTGTTAAAATTTTAATTTAAAGGAAAGAATAACGTGTGGAGTACATAATGAACACCTTGTTGAGTTAAAAAAAAGTTTTCACAAAATCAAATTATGGTCAGTTCCATGTATTTCTTTATAGTTGCTGTATGCACGTATACATGTATATTTAGAACTTTTGAATTAACACGTAAGAAAGAGATTGAATATTAACTTTGGGATTTGATTTAATTTCAACAAATCGTAGACCAAATTAAGGGTGCATTATTTGTCAAGAGATTTTTTTTCCTCCAGTATAATATATATTTATATAAGAGTAGAGAAACTGTCTCAATAGATGCTTCTTGTTGACTTTTTTAATTTTTCGTAAAATTTAATTATTGTGACATTTTAAACAGATTTTAGGTTGTTTACAATTATGTTTACATTACAACCATTTGTTAACACTCATGATATGTTACTCTTTCCAAACATAAAGGTATATTTACATAATGTTATCTTAGTGATTAGTTTTCAATATTGCAAATTTTTATGCTCCAGAAAAAACGATAATAAAAAAGCGATCGATGTTGGTTTTGAAAGACAAGGTTTTTACGAAAATGAAGTTTTGAAATACGAAAATGCAAAAGAAGCATCGACAGGAAAAACTGAGTACGAATCGTAAGTAACACTTTAAATTAATGAGGAAATAATTCAAGCCTCACATCTCATAATGGTATGCAAAAAGAATTTCCTTTCAAATAAATTTAAATACACATGTATAATACATTCAAAAAGGCATCCATAAAGGAAATGTAGAGATAGTTTTGATATCATTGCTTGTATAAGTCAATACAATATTTATACATTTCACGCACAATATTTTCAAAACATGATAGGACTAAAAATTGTTTAGTTTTTGTCATGATTAAAAAAATCTTTCTTCAGATGCAAATATGAGGAACTGCAAGTAAAAGAGAAAGAACAGGATTATGACGAACTAAATTTGACCAAAATATAAAAGAAAGACATTTTAAAGAAACATTGCGGACAGTGTTGACAAAAAATATATTTAAACAGATGTGATAAAAAAATGTTTGTGACAGTTTAGAACTTTGTGCCTTCTTTTTTTTTTATTCATCTGCTTTTTTCCGTTTTCATCAATCTCGCTTAGCTTTACAATTTAGATTTTTAAATAATTAATTTTTTTGTTTGTTTTATAGTTCATAAAATAACAATATATAAAATGTTGCAAAGTCTACGAACGATTTCATTCATTTGCTGTAGTAGTATTCATTTGCTCACCAGTAGTTGTTGCTCTTTGAGGATTTTTAATAAAACAAATATATTTACTACGTTGTGTTTTTTAATATTAAAATTCTGAAAGAAAATGGCCATTATGATATCTATTTGGGAAACATCATTTGATCCACCCTTTGAAATCAATGCGTCTTATTGAAGGATCTAGAGATTTAAATCCTTTCAGAAAGAATTTTATTTACAAATATATATTATATATAATACGAATATATGTGTATATTATATAACTTTGTGAAATTCGATAATCTGATTGGTCAATACGAAGTATTTATTTTTTAATAACGACCGCTGAAAGCGAATAATGACTCGCACGAGCTGCCTCGTTTTCACTTTCGCTTTAGACAAACATGGAAGTTCGCAAGTTGTAGGTGAGGAAAATTTAAAAGTTATAGTGACGAACTTTGAGACTGAGAATACAAAACAATTACAAGGATATCTGTGAACATTTTTCGGGAATACTTAGCACATACCATTTTAGTACATACCATTTCATGGTTGATTTCGACTTTTCCACTCGGCGAGCAGAGTTTTGACGCTGTTTACGCGATTACGGAGACTAAAGAAAATATAGACAAGCATGCCATGTATGATTGTATCTTATCGTAGAAGACATAGGTATTCATATTATGTCAGTGCATTTCTTTTGCATGTGTAAACGAGTGCGATTCTCAATCTGGGGGAGGGGGTACTCTGTGTTACTCGGAGATAAATATCTTGCGTTATTATTATGATATGGGTTAAATTTATTACCGAAACAATTTCCTCTGATTAACATTTCAATGAATTCTGAAACATTTACATTCAACTTATTTATGGTTAATACTATCTCTCTAAACATAAGGGAGATATACATTGTACTAAAAATATGTGAAATTACTTTTTATATAATATAATAAATATGGACTCAATGTAGGTCAATATGCATTTATAATGACCCAGGATGACAGATATTGACCGAAGATACATGGAGTATATCGACCTCGGGCTAGCGCCCGCGGTCGATATACTCCATGTATCTTCGGTCAATATCTGTCATCCTGGGTCATTATAAATGCATATTGACCTTCATTGAGTCCATATTTGTATAATATAAGAGCTTAAAGCGAGAAGTGACAAACACTAGCTTGAAATAAAGATACCATAGAGTCTGACACATCGGTTTAATATTTGGATATTTTACTAGAAAAATACACAAATTTTTATTATTAAAAATTAGAAAAAGTTCAACTTTAAAGGGACTGGGTGTTGTGGCCATTTTCAGACTGTTTTGATCTCCTTTAGAAGAAGAGCTTCACATAAATATATACAAAAATGATCCCATTTTAAAATTAAAATATGAAATTTTGCTATGCCAAATGATATATATAGTTTACAGCTTAAGATATCATATATTAAAAACAATGTTAAAAAAAGTTATATCTGATGGTTAATTTGTTGACCCCCAGCCTCCTTAATCTCTTTAATATTTTTGGAAATTCCTTTCTTATTCTTATTCACACACAAAATTCATTCACTTAATTCACTAGTCACACTGAAGGGTTCTAATTGGTCTCCGTCGAGAAATCACCAAAACTATAGAGGAAACACCAAAACTATTCAGAAATCAAAAAAAATATTCAGAAGTCAACAAAACTATACAGAACTCAATAAACTGTACAGAAATCCCGCGTGGTGAAGTGGTTAGAGCGTTTGCGCCATGCACAGTCGCAGAGCAAGGAGTTAATCCTTACGATTCCACTGTGGGACTTGAAGACCAGTCCTTCGGATGGAGGTTATAAACCGAAGTCCCGTGTCACAGTAGGTGCGGGCCCGAGAAAGATCTCTCCCTGCTCAATGACCTGAATGCCCAGCAAAGGAAAAAATTTGCAGTTCTCCACCGGCAAGTGTTGGCGTTTCCATAGGAGCGAAAAATGCTGGAGAGGGAAGTTAAACAACAATCAAACAAACAGACAGAAACTAAACACACACACAAAACTAAACAAATTAATCAACTTTAATGCAAAAATATTCTCCGCGATTTTAATTCATTATTTAAATTATGTTTGACTTAACGTTCCCTGTCATACAGAATTCAGACGTTAACTTAAATATGTATGTTATTTAAATGTTGTTTACACCAAAACTTTTTGTGTCCCCTAAGTAGATGCAATTTTTCTTATTGCAAATAGTTTGGCTTAACAACATTCATACATGTATACTTGTCATGATATGTGATATTTTCATAAAATTAGAATCTATATATTAACCCCAGAGTATATTTACATTTTGAGATGTCAAAATGTAGGGAGGGGAGATTAATTTCTTGTTGCGGGATGGGATTGCGGCTTTGCCGAACTACATGGGTAACAATTATTATCCAATACTGGAATGCAGGGAGCTGGGATGGGAGTGCAATGCAAATGTTTTCATGATTTCTGTTGACAGCATTAGTACCGGTAGTCTGCTTTTACGTTAACTAAGATATACTTTCTTTAGGATTTTATACAGTCATGCATGATATTCTTATTGTTTGATTTTATTTAAATAAAAACTCTTTTCTCCTTGGACTTCGATGCAGCCTTTGTTAATTAACTACTGCTTAGATAACTTCTTCGCGGGTATTTCTTTTTCAACTTTATATGCTTTAATTTCATATCTGAGTATTAAGTACTTGATGGGTATTTAAGGGAAGAGAATTTGGCCCAGTTAGGGACGGAGATCCTTAAACTTGGCCGTTTTGGACAAGTACATGTCTGTACTTGTATTGAAGTTGCTGATCTCCAAAGAGACTCATGGCAAATAAGTACAGGAGAAAGTCCAAAAAATTGCATATTTCAAAATGGACCAACCGTATCATTTTTAGCTCACCTGAGCCGAAGGCTCAAGTGAGCTTTTCTGATCACATTTTGTCTGTAGTCCGTCTGTCCGTCCGTCTGTCTGTCTGTCTGTCTACTTTTCACATTTTCGACTTCTTTTCAAGAACAGCTGGGCCAATTTCAACCAAACTTGCCCAAAAGCATCCTTGGGTGAAGAGAATTTAAGTTTGTTCAAATGAAGGGCCAGGCCCTCATTTAAGGGGAGATAATTGGGAATTAATAAAAATTTGGTGGCATGTTTTAAAAATCTTCTTCTCAAGAACTACTATGCTAGGAAAAATGAAACTTATATGGAAGCATCCTCAGGTAGTGTAGATTCAAATTTGTTCAAATCATGACCCCCGGGGGTAGGGGCGGGGCCAAAACGGCCAGCCAAAGTTTTACATATAAATATATGGGATTTTTTAAAAAAAATCTTCTCAAAAATTGCAAAGCCATAATTGATCATATTTATATGGAAGCATCCTCAGGTTGTGTAAATTCAAGTTTGTTCAAATCATGACCCCAGGGGGTAGGACGGGATCACAATGGCCGACCAAAGTTTTACATAGAAATATGTAGGAAAATTCTTTAAAAAATCTTCTTCTCAAGAATAGCAAAGCCATGATTGGTCATGGGACTACTTTTGGATTTAAACTTTTCAACCAATTTCTACTTTTTCTTCGCCACAGTGCTCAGGTGAGCGATGTGGCCCATGAGCCTCTTGTTCATTATTGGAGGAATGTTGGAGTTTTTGGCACGCACAGTTGAAATACGTATTTCGCTGTGGAATCTAAAACTTGTTTAGACCATATCGATGTGTCGTCTTATGCAGTCTAATCAATGTATATATATTGCCTGAGAGAGGAGTCGATAAATATCCTTTTTAAGTTGGGCTGTTCTACGGACCTCCCCACAACATTTTACACTCTGTGGTTTTACAGTAGCTGATGCAACAATGAAATAGACAACTGATTTGGTTACTTTACATTCATAAAAAATGATTCAATACATGCTACAATTTCAGAATTGTGTGTATATGACTTTAGAATTATTTTTTTTATTTTTATCCACTTATAATTATGAAATATAGGTAGGTTACTTAAAAGTTTTACAAATATATAAAATTACAAAATTGTTAAAAATGTCTGTGTTGATTTATTTAACAATTTTGTGGAATTAATTTTTTTCCTGCCAAAACTCCGTTGAGCAATTGATGTAGACCTATCACATGACTGGTGATCATAGACAGATTTTGAATTTCTCTGGGGTATTGGTCACTTTTGTCCCGGCAGGTTGTGCAGAATGTGAATTTAGTTTTGAGACTTTTGGATTTCCAGTCATCGTATGTTCGACTTTTTGTTTGGTTTTATCTTGGAATTAAAAGCAATGTTTTAGGATGTGATTTCTGCTTTTATAGATTTCCAGTAGTTAAAAACGTCATGTCTAATTCTTTTAGCACAGCACTTTAATAGTAAAATTCAAGATATTTTCTGAAGAGCCTAAATTCCATAATTTTCGTAAGTCGTTTGTTAAATGTAATTTGTAAATGTGAATGTAGATAAAGGTTTTATTTTATCGCTAAACTTTTAAATAGGTTTGGTGGAGATCACTTTATCGATTAAATTCGTGAGTGTTAAAACTATTACGATATTGAGTTAATGCGTTAAGATACGTATTAATCAGTGAGAGAGTATTTATGATTAGTGTTTTGTATTATGATATGAACTCTTGATTGTTGTTTTTATTGCTGAGGTTTTGTACACTGATTTTACAGGGCCATATCATATGTATGACATGATTGGAGGGATTGTTATAAATGTATAATGATTGGATAAATTAATATAGCCTGCTGAACTTTCAAAACTGTGTTGTCGTTTATTTTGCTAAGAAACTAAGGTTTACATAAACAAGTTTATTTTATTATGAAAGGATATGTTTAATCCAACGAAAGCTGAAATTTTCTTCATTTTATGAAATCGAAACAATTTAATTGACCCTCTGGTGTTAAATAGAACGGCGAAATCGCGACATGGTAACGTAATTCGTTTCTCTATAGAGGAATTAAACAATCAGCTTTATTTTCGAACTGTAAGAAGAATTAATATATATGTATAGTCCTTATTGTCCTGCATTATGCAAGATAACCTTCACAACAACGCAGACTTTATTTCTCAATTACATTAACGTTTGCACAATACAAGGACATAGAAAGAAACTTATTAAAGTTTACAGTGTATGTTTAAATTACAATTTATTTTATAAATTTCAAGGAACTTGTCCCTATTAATTTTATAAGTTGTTTACTTAAATCTGATTTGTTTGTTCCATATTTAGATGAGTATTATGTATTGTACATTATAAAATACAATCTACGGCACTTATCCGGAGACTCGTCAGAGAGGTTCTCGGACTCTTCAGTCAGGCACTCCAAACTTCTAGGAGTGGGGCTCTTCAGCTCCACTTTACGATCAAAGTCTCTATCCGATCAGCATCTGTACTATCTATCACTTTCAGTACTTAAAAGAAACTCTTTAAAAAAGACAATTTTCTTATCATTGGCTTACACTTTTTAAAAGATTTGCACATGAAGTGGTTTGCTTCGCGGTGTTTTAGTACTCATAAACAACCGTTATTATCACGAAGATAACTTTCAGTTTGTGTAAATATTGAAAAAAATTCTTCCCATTTCACTCTTTAACCTTCGTGTTTTGCACAATGACCATTTTGATATTGATTATTTCCTTTTGGTCTACTTGTCAAGGTAGGTACATACATTTCATTTACCGTATATATTGAACGATAATAAAGTTTGCATTTTACTGTGCATTTTGAAATCATATTACATAAAGAATGGGAATTGATACGTTAATCGTAGCTTTTCAGAAGATAAGGGCAACTCATCAGTGTGTAAACATTTTTACAGGGCGATCGTATTGGCGTTTATCCGTAGGCAACATGGTAGATGAAGCTACAGTTACTATTAGATGGTCGTGTACTTACTTCATAGACAAGAAACTTTTTAACCACAGAGACAGTGTTCCTGTAATGTTTGCCCAGATTCGAAAGAGCTCGACCTGGAGAAACATTGTTATGTTGAATAACACAGGATATTATCTGCTAAATACTGATCCGATCGAAAGGAACAATTCAACTTCTGACGGTGTTTGTGAAAATCGAACGGATAATTATCATCATGAATGCAGTTTGAGAATTATTTCAACATTTAATAGCCATTCTCTGTAAGCGCTTAAACTTCGTTGCCACGCATGGTCACCGATTTTGATGAGACTTCACCCATGCTTAGTACTTGACACCAGAAACAAATATCAAACAAAATTTCGTTGCTATGTGTCTCGGTTGCTATGGCAACAGCCGGAAAAGTTTGAAAAATCGAGATTTTCAGCCACTTTAAATCTTGACTGTGGCTTAATAAAAACTAGAAAAAACAAACAAACCATTCTCACAAAAACATGACACCTTGATGTCACTTATACTGTAAAAAAAACTGTTTGGAATATATCTCTAAGTAAGTGGTAACCAAGGGTACATTTGGAATACACTTAAAATGCTGAAATATGCTGAAAAACACTCCGTATTCACTAATGGTAGGTGTTACATGCTCAAACTCAATCAACGCCTTAAGAAAAGCAATGAAAATGTTTGACTTTAAGCATATAAGTATAAGCAATATTATTCTATAAATAACTTTTATGGTTGCCATGGTAACACAGTGTAACCATGCAAAAACAGTAACTAAGATTGGGTTTATGCTACTGTCCTGAGGAAAAACATGAAAATTCAAGACTGGCAACTATGCATTCTTAGGACCTTGCAACACTAAAACCATAAGAAAAATTGGGTATAATTGCTACTTTGCAGTGTTACCATGGAAACAAAGTACCAGTGCTAAAAAGTGAATTATTTTTCGCAGCATTAAGAATTAAATTGCCATTTAATCAAGAAACAAATCAAAGGACTCAGTTTGAATAGTACTTATCTGTTAGAACTGAAGTTGAATATCATATATTGATAAAATTTGATGAATAAAACAACACTGTTGCTATGGTTACCAAGAAGGGAAAATGTTCGATTTTGTGAACTTTATATCAATATTAAACCCTGTGTGCCAACTTCTTGCATCCACTTAGAGATTGGATGATAGTCAAAATTAAAAGTCAAGTTAGCTGTTAATAAATATCAATCATAAAAGTTTTGGGAATCTACATTTGAGGGTACGTATCCAAGGAAAGAAAATATTTTTCAGGTTTTTAAGCATATGTTTTCTGCTTGTTTCCATAGCAACGCTCTATTTAAAGAATCTAATCTGAATTTTTTCAAATGGGAAAACTTCTTATAAAATGGATCATAAGTTATGAGGAAATGTGCTTTTTTAAAAGATAGGATCAGATTTAAACATACAGAGTGTTACTTTGAAGGCTCTTTGTGGTATAAAAACCTTGGCAACCATTGCCAACCAAAATGAAATATCATATTTTGTCCTTGGTTAATATTTCAAGGCTCTTTTTTCTATTATTTGGTAAAATTTCATCCTATAATTGCTTTTTATTTTTACGTGTATGACTTTATAAAATTCAATGAATATTTTTTTGACTTTGGAATATTTTGTTACCATAGTAACATATGTAATAGATGATTTACCAAAAATGTTTATCATGCATTTGAGACATCTGACCTTCAACTTTTGGAAACAGTCATTGCCAATTGTTTGCTTTGCCGCAAATGTTATCTATTGGGGCTCTAAACATGTTAAAAAATGCCATTTTTCGAACTTTAAGACATGTTGCCATGGTAACTATAAAGCATAGCAACCAATTTTTGCCTGATTTCAGTTTAGGGTATCAATGACTTTTATCATAGAGAGTTTGGAGAAATTCTGAGACTATGCGTGCCACAGCTCCTATATAAAATTTCAAATCATTACAGAGAATGGCTCTTAAAATGAATGGATGTTCAATTGATCCAGATCTGTTTTTTGTCTACCGGTGTCAATTTTCAAATGGAAGTGGGATATTCACAAGCTTTGAAAATGAAAGTGTGGGAAAAGGTGGTTTAAGTAAGCACACTTACCTGTATAAGTTGTCGCTAGTGTCTCTATGTGTATACATGTATATCCTAATAAATGTGCCTTATGTACATAGTATATTTAATGTTTTTATCAAATTTTTTTATATTTGATTTCAAATCAACTGGCTCGAACAGTGTTTTAATCCATCCTTTTCCGACCGTCACAAGACAGTAGCCTTTTACAAAATTTTCACTTCAAAACAGAATAAATGTCCTCTGATGAATCCTAGGGGTAATCGCTTTTCATTCGCCGAATTTGATTACGTGACCGACCCACTTCATTTCCCAATGAAGTTTTAAATAATATTTTTTCTTAATTAAACTTTTTCTATACGACCACATACACAAAGAATATCCATTTTAACTTATTCTAAGCACCTAAACATGCTGAAGTACAGCTCACGGCACTTTTTAAACTCACATGGTTTTTCGCACAAATTAAGGTCATATTACCCTTGCTATAAAACTTATTAACATAATCGAACTTCAGCACGAGACATACCATGGGTAATTCTTATATGTAATAAATATCTAATTTCAAAGATTTATATTCTAAAGAATCATTATCGTAAGGTTTCAACGTCGATATTTTAAAGGGAACTTTATTAATAAATGGTATTACCCGGTATGTTCTATCTATATGATTTTGCAATAGGTATTTACAAATTAAATCAATCGAGCTTGTTTTTGATACTATCAAATAGAAATTTCCAAACTGACTTTTTTAAATGAGTATTGTTCTAAGTACTTTACACATCATCAGTATTCGTCTTGGTTTTTGTCGAAATGGATCGCCGAAAGATGGCAATCTGGTATAAAGAAAACATGCCAAAAGATAGGATAATGAAGCATTGTTTTTCTTTAAAAATAGCAAAATATTACGATTGAAAAGAAAATAATTTTACATTTAAAGACTGAAACTTTGAAAAATTTTGCGTTGAATGTATCTATCATGCTAAATTTCAGAAAGTAAGCTTAAAAGAATGCCGCCCTTTAACATGGAAAGCAATCGAACAGCTGAAAAATACTGTTATCATCTTGCGCTTTAGAGTCATATGCACAGAAAATACATAAGTCACATGAGCTGTACTGTTTTTGCGTCTAGGCAAGGCAAAGGACTGCTTTAAAAAGAACGGATACAAAGACGACTGCGTTTGACGAGAAACCATGAAAAACCGTTTGTGAGCTTTCATAATTTATCATCCAAGAGCATATTAAAATCCTACCAATTATTATGTGGGAATTAAATGTTCTAAGTTAGTGGTTAACATCAAATTAAGTAGTAATAAATCACTTTTAAATATGTTTTGATGCCTTGTTACTCAATTTTGAATTATAGCAATGTGACGTTTATTTGTGCGAAAAACTGAGTTTAAAAAATGTGTGGAGCTGTATATCTTGTTAGGTCACCTGATTCACTCATGCTCTAATAGAATTATGTAGAAAGTAAAGTACTAGTATTTTCATGGAATTCAATTTGAAATCATATGAAAAGTAATCCCAGTACCTATATTAAATTTAATATCATTTTAAAGAAAAATCTGAAAACATACAGAGTACCAATTTGTGAGAGACTGTAGGCATTCTGGATACATTTCCTTTGTCCGATCTTGAAAAACGTTCCATATTCATAACTGGTTTTCTTCATTTTTCATTCAAAATGACAGTATTAATATGATTTTTCATCTTGTTTATCAACACATAATGCACCGAGACACCTTATTTGACCAAGCATACCTTATAAAACATCATTAAAAGAAAATTATTTCTCAAGTTTGATAAATCTGTAGGCATTTTTCATTTACATTGTGCTAGATCTTGACCTTAAACAAACAAACTTAATGTATAATTATGATGAGGAAGGGTGCCCATTCCGAAAATTGTGATTTTCATGGCTCCAGGGTCAGGGGGTTCTGGTTATATAGTAAAAATGCATAAATTCGTAGAAAATTTTCTTCTCTACTACTGGTCATTAAACAAAAAACTTAATTCATAGTTATGATGAAGGAGGGATGCTTCTTCAAAAATTGTGAATTTCATGGCCCCAGATTCAGGGGTTCTGGTGTAAGGCCAGGGTTATATAAATCATAAATGAAAATGCATTGATTCTTTGAAAATCTTCTCCCCTACTCCTGGGTACTAAAAAAACTAACTAACTAACTAACTAACTATATATATATATATATATATATATATATATATATATATATATATATATATATATATATATATATATATATATATATATATATATATATATATATATATATATATATATATATATATATGATGAGAAAGAGTGCCTCTTTCAAAATTGTGAAATTCATGGCCCAGGGTCAGGGGTTATGGTGTCAGGGCAGGGCTATATAAATTATATAGTGAAAATGCATAAATTCTTTGAATTTCTTCGCATCTGCTCCTGGGTATTAAGCAGATAAACTACCTATACAGTTATGATGAGCAAGGTTGCCTTTTCTAGAATTGTGAATTTCAAGGCCCCTGGTTAAGGGGTACCATAGAGGGGGGGATCTAATTACATATTGACAATGAATTAATGCTTTGAAAGCTGCTCCTTGGTATTAATCAAACATTTACATGTATGATGAGCAAGGATGCTTTTTCCAAAATTGTTAAATGTGTGGCCCCAGCTAGGATGAGAGGTTCTTCTAGAGTAGAGGCACTCCTGGTTATTGCTGATTATTACTTATAATTTGAAATAAATTTTTTGTTCCCTTACTCTGCCTATGGGTATTAAGTAATCAAACTAAGCATGCTAAGTTTATAGTTATAATGGTATTTTTGTCACAATTGTGAATGTCATGACCACAAGTTTAAACATGAATCAAATTCAATTGTTGGAAACCTGTTACATGATGCTCAGGGGAGCTATAAGACCCGTGGGCCTCTTGTTATTTGAACGAGTAAACTTTAGGATTTTTTTTTATTTTTAGGGGTTTATGACATTGATTTTCGTCAGGGAAGCATTGAATTACAAACAAATAACGAGAATCCTTTTTCCGAAGGGGATGTTGTGCAGCTGCAGTTTAGTGGAAACATCAGAAGAGTTCCTGCGTTTACAAAAGTAAATTTTGTTTCTCTTTTTTTGCTACATATTTTTTCTAAATATGGATGGTATCACTGATAGACATTAATCAAGTTATGTTGAAATTGGATGAATAAAGAGAGTCATATACTGTAAAACGAGAAAATTTGGCGCATACATATTTTAGCGCAAACGCAAGTGAGAGTACATTGGCGCAAATAAATTTTAGCGCTTGCATTTGTCAGTAAAATATATAAATGTAATATTTTGGATACCCGTATTTTACTTTTTGGTTAGTCAAGCACAGAAACATATTAGTACTCCCGTATATCAGTAAACATTCGTTACCGTTACCGCGGTACGTATAACGCTATCACATGGACGTGGTACAATGTTAAAATTTATTTTATTTCTATTTTCATTTAAAAGAAATGGAATATTAACTCATTTAAATCATATAAAAACATTGCATGCATCGACAGAAAATTACTTAGATAAAACGGTAATCCTAATCAGGTATTGTCTGCAAGCTCAATCGCCATGCTTGATTGCATTGTTTACCTCGAGACGATAGATTGACACGCCGAGAAGCCAAACTTTGAAAGTGCTAATGATAATTATCCGGTAACAACTACCGGGGTAACAATAGTTTAATTAAATTATAATTTGGCAGAACTTTCTGTCTTCCGTACATGTGCAGTGCTAGTGTGTATATAAAATCCAATGACCCTTCGGCATTACGTAATCGCGCGTTCCGGTTTACATGCACTTATGTAAAAGCTTTGAACACACACAAAACATGATATTTAGAAATTCTTTAGCGCACGATAAATTTTAGCGCTCAGGGGCTCTTGTGCCAAAGGCGCTAAAATTAGTAGTGCGCCAAATATTCTCGTTTTACAGTATAAAGGAAGCTTTGTAGCGATACAATACCATCATTTCACATCATTACATATCATGACTTAAACCTCGAAAAAAAAAAGATTATTCTAAACTTATTTTTCTACGTATATATACTATATATATATATATTATACTTTTTACTTATATTTTGTTTTTTGGATTTATTTCAATTTTAGAAAGTTATTGTTTTTCTTATGAGCATCTAAATTTTATAAATCTATTAATCAAGCCTCAAGTGAAAATAAGGGTAAATCAGATTTTTAAAAATACATAGCAATATTACATTTTAATATAACATGTCCATACATAAAATTTGGTTCCAACTTTATTGATGTTTTAAGAATTACAATAGTACGTGCACGTAGAAAGCTAAATGCGTTTGCGAGTATTGTTAAAAACTTACAAAACAGACATAACATGATTACATGTACAAATGAATCAGGAACTCTTTTTACGCCCTGTAAGGACTGACTACATCATTTGCCTAATGTAATTCTAGTATTATATCTTTTAAAAGTATGATCAATAAGTTTTAAACTAATAGCTAACTTACCTATGTGATTATATCATAGGTCCGAATGCATCTTGAAACTGAACAGATAATTTGAACGTTTTAAAATACTTCAACAGACATGATATTTGAGAATCTTTTGGACGCACATGTATATTAAAGTATTCCTAGGCAAATTATAATTAAATAAAAACTAGATGCTGTCATGAGACAGTATTACCCGCACTAAGGTGTTTGCCTCTAAATACACACTCCTTCATATTGGACTTTCCAAGGAAAAAGTCAAAATAATTCTATAATTATCACTATACATGTATTCGTCAAATTGAGCATATTTTCAGGTGACCATATGATCTATGAGCCTCATATATGTATTTTGTATACTTAATTCATTACCAGTCTGAAATTACTGCAGAATTTAATTAATGAAGTAAATTACTTAATTAGATTCTGATAAATATTTTGCCCATCATTTGGAACTTTTTAAATTTACTTTCTCAACGACATAAAATATTATTTTAGTACAAAGCGTTTTTAATGAATTAATTTAAATGTGCACACTGATTTTAGTATTTGGTCAGGAAAAAACCCCCATTGAAAATACAACCCAATTAATTTGTCAATGCCTATCTCTCTCCCCCCCCACCATCACACACACACACATACTCTCTCTCTCTCTCACATTTTTTTTGAAATAGACCTAGATGGAAAAGTTATGTTAAAACATCGTTTGTTATGATAGTTTGAAATTTGTTCTTGTACTAAACAGTTTTACGTGTGAACATCTTATTTTCTACATTCACATTGGGTTTGCGTGACCCATTATCATATTTTTAGATATCACCACTCGGCACACCTCGGCCGATTCATACTTCATCTAATGAAGGCGACGGAATCAGCAAAGGTTTGCCGAATGAGATTATTTAGCACATGTATGCTGACGATGCAGTGTGGTCAGTTAAAATCATTTGTGTTTTAATTGGATTATATGGATTATATTTCATGAATTCGTTGTCAGGACCTATGACATTCGGTAAGTACAAGATTTAGTATAGATTGCATGAAAATAAATAAATACAAATGGTTAGGTTGAAGTTCAAAAAGGGTCAAAGATCATCGCATGCCACAGTCGACAAATTTCACATTGTCAACTTATCTCCCGTTGCGGACATTCAGTATATACAGGGGCAGATCCAGCATTTTTTTTTCGGAAAGGGGGTGGGGGTGGTGTCACATCTCAGTCAAAAAAATCCAGCCCAAGATTTTCTGAGAAGCAAATGAAAAATAATAATACAAAATGTAAAAACAATGATGGTGGGGTCCCTGTTTTCTAAGGGGGGGGGGGTGTCCAAAGTCATTTTTATTCTCTTCAGTAATATAGTCTTATTTAAATAACTGCAAATTCCAGGGGGGGGGGGGTCTGATCTCCCTAGCCACTGACTCCCTGTACCTGAAATGACAATTGATCTTATGACTCCATAATAGTAGAAAATTTTTTCCATTTGACTATATATACATATTTTGTTTCCTGTGTTTATGTCTGTTTGTCTGTCCACAGAAACTTTAACCTTGCCCATAAGTTTTAAGTGGATTGGGCTATACACATGGCTTCCACATTTCATAGGTAAATTTCTTTTGGCAAAACCTTTTAATGGGTACCACCAATTTTGACCTCTTGATCTCTTGACCTTGGAGTTTGACCCACTTTTACAAAAAAAAAAATACCTTAAACTTGGCCTAAGTTTTGAACAGTTGGTGCTAGGACTTTCATGCTCAACATGTGTAATCATTGTGAACTTTCAACACGTATAAATATTTTTGACCTTGACTCTAGAGTTGAACCCAATTTAACTTTAACCTTGGCAATAACTTTTGAACAGGTGAGGAAGTACTAGGGATTTCTCTCTTATTTCACATATGTATTCCTTGTGACAAGACTTTCCCTTTGATACCAACAATTTTGACCCTTTGACCTTGACCTTGGAGGTTGACTTACATTTGAGAAACTTCAACCTTTGCCAAAAGCTGCCATAACAGTTGCTGTCACAACAAACAAACAAATGACTAAAAAAAAAACACAGTATACATGTACATATTTTATATTCAACAGATATACTTCTGGTCATATCTCTAGTTCTCCCTTGAATCAGACATGGTGATATAAATATTTTAAAAATAATTATTATAAGAGTTGAGAAGGTTGTGCATATTAAAATATACTAAGCTCTGCAGATGAATTAGATATACCTGTTTAGCTTCATTCTGCTACCCAAAGCACCTTGATTAACTATTTACAAGCATACTGTTTTCTGAAATGTACTGTTTTCTGTCGTCCATCTATTTGTCTGCAAACTTTTCACATTCTTAACTTCTTAAGAACCACTTGGCCAATTTCAACCAATTTACATGTAAATATGCAGGGGACTTTTTCCAACACAAATCTTCTTCTCAAGAACAGCAAGGGCATTTATTGTCTCCCATTTTCGCTAAAGGTAGGGGACATTAAATCTTATTTGTTTGTCAGTCTGTCCATCTGTCACAATAAATTTAACCTTGGTCATCATGGTCATATATTTTGAATGAGAAGAGACAGTACTTTTATATTAAACATGTGTATTAGTATTTAACTGGGACAATACCATTCTAAATACAATATGATTTTTATTACCCATGACCTTGAAGTTTGACCTACTGTCATTAAAAAAATTAATTGTTTTAAATTGATCATTTTGAAAGATAAATGAAAGGGCATTCATGTTACCTGTGATAAGACCTTTCCAAATGTACCATGACTTTTTGACTCTGTGACCTTGACCTTGAAGTTGAACTTACTTTTCAATAATGTTGTATTTCCTTTTGACTGAGAAGAGATACGACTTTCACATTTCAAGTGTACATTACCCATAACAAGATGTTTTCCAACATGCTATGATTTTTTACCCCTTGACCTTGATGTTTTATCAAAATTTCAAAAGAGTGAACTCTCCCAAAAGAGGATTAGGCCACTGTGTAAAAACGTCATTTTTCGACACGCATTTGACCCCCTGGGGAAAAATCAAAATTCAGAAACCTTACTGCACATCTACATGACACCACCAACCATCTCCCAAAATATGATAAGGCTGCTGAGTAAAATGTAAGAGGAGTTCAGGGAAGACAGGCTTTTGCATAAAAACGTCATTTTTCGACCCCAATTTGACCCCCCGGGGGCAAAATCAAAATTCCGAAACCTTACTGCACATCTACATGACACCACTAACCATCTCCCAAAAGCTGATTAGGCTGCTGAGTAAAATGTAAGAGGAGTTCAGGGAAGAAGGGGCTTTTTGCCTAAAAAATGTCATTTTTCGACCCCCATTTGACCCCCCGGGGCAAAATCAAAATTCCAAAACCTTACTGCACATCTACATGACCCCACCAACCATCACCCAAAAGATGATTAAGCTACTGTGTAAAATGTAGGAGGAGTTCAGGGAAGAAAAGTGTGACAGACGGACGGACAGACAGACGGACGGACGGACATGAGTAACAACAATATACCCGAACTTTCTTTAGAAAGTGTGGGTATAATTAATATTTTCCATTCTATTTGTTTTCTCTTTGATAACTCTTTGAAAGATAGGTGAGCTGATTTCTAAATAATTCTACTGGAATGTAAATCTCGCCAAGCGATAGGCCAGGAGTTAGAGAGGCCTAAAATGCATGTAAATCTCGTACGACTGTCCTTGTGTTTGACTTCAGTGGGTAGGGACTATTGAAATTGAGATAGGAGACCTTGTGTGGTTTAAATCTTTTATCTACATTTTTGAAATCTTTCATAAAAGTTTTACAGTTTTAAATCTACAGTTTAATCTTGAAATGAAATGGAAATATAAGGAAGTATATTACTGTCTTCACTCTTGTCAGTAGATTATGCCAGAGACATCAACGATAGTTGGAAACGTGGGATACGCCCGGTATGCAAATTATCCCACGTTTCCAACTATCGTTAATGCTCTGTTATTCTCTACTAGCTAGACAGTGATTCTTTAAATCAGCTTCAGCATCGTGCTGGAGCAATAGAACATGCAGTTAACAAAAAATTCTCAGCGCACGTCTTTGAACGTACAGAAGTGATCGAACGAAAGTAAGACAGAAAATAGATAACATACACATATTTCGGAGTTCCAATTAAAGACAGAAAATGACCACTATTTTTCTTAAAAAAAATGTCCTTTTTCCTTGTAATAAAAAAGCATAACCCACTCTTAGAATCCGCATACCGTACACCAAGTAAAATGACCACCGTAGATTAATGACCGGTACCTATGGAACGCCGTCACTGCCTTATAGCAGAACACAACATTGCATTGTGTCAACCTTACATTACATTATGTCAACTCTTTATGACATTTACTCACACTACTATTGTATTGTGTCAACCTTCAATTATATTATGTCAACTCTTTATGACATTATCCCACAATACTATTGCATTATGTCAACCTTCCATTATATTATGTCAACTCTTTATGACATTAGCCCACAGTACTATTGCATTATGCCAACCTTCCATTATATTATGTCAACTCTTTATGACATTAGTCCACACTACTATTGCATTATGTCAACCTTCCATTATATTATGTCAACTCTTTATGACATTAGTCCACACTACTATTGCATTGTGTCAACCTTTCATTACATTATGTCAACTCTTCATGACAATTACACACACTACTATTGCGTTATATCAAATTTCAATTACATTATGTTTAGTCTTTATGGCATTAACTTGCACTTTAATTACATTGCGCCAATCTTCCATTGCATTATATCAGCTCTTTATGACATTAAGTCAAAACAATTTTACGTGGTGTAAAAATGTTTTTATATATTTTCAACTCATTATTACATTATGTGCACTCTCTACTATTTGGTCTAAGTAGTTCAATACATGATGTGAATTTATCTTTAACTCAATATCAAGTCGTTATAATACGATGTCAGAATTTCATTACATGATCTGAAAAAATTGTCACATGTGGTCAATTCTTTTACTACTTTATGCCCTCAATATGCTACATGACGACGTGAATCAATTTCATGATGTGAATTTGCCCTTACTTTTTGACAAATCGTTATTACGTTATGTCATTGTGTCTTTACATTGTGTCAAAAATGCTAAGCCTCTTGTCAGCATACATGTATCTTAGGCTATTTCATCTCATATCAGATGTGAAAAGCTCATGTCATACTGTGCGCACTCTTCTACATTATGTCGATTCACTATTACGTTATGCGAACACGGGTATCCTCGGCCTTTATATGAGCATAACGTATTTTCCGCATTCCGAAAGCACTAAAAATGGCGGGAGAGAAAACTGTCATAAAATAAATTCTCGGCGATTTGGGAATTGCATCTTTAAATGAAAACATTAAGCGAAAAATGATTGACAATCTTGAAACGTGCAAAGCCTTAACACTGCGACTGTGAATTAAAGTCATGCGTCGAAATTCAATGGCGTTTACTTTTATCTGATAATTAAATAAATCAAATATGAGTCGTGCAGCATTTTTTTTTCTTTTGAATTGCTTTTTTTTAATGAAAATCTTAAACTTCTGATCTTACTCAGAACACTGTCATAAGTTTTTTTTTATCAGTCTTTAACTCTCCTGTTTTAAAGTGTAAACACATCGATCGTATAACACACGTGCACTGGCGGGTTGGGGAGGGGGGGGGGGGGCAGAAATCCCGCCCTACCATCTTTAGTCACCAAAATATACATAAAATTAATAAATTTATTAGTTTTACGTTGTAGGTCATTGCATTACTTTCACATTAAGTTTAGCTGAATTAAATTGAAAATTTTTTCTATATAAAACTATAAAGCCTGCCGGAGAGTTTTTCCGCTTTCCCCCTTTGGTCACCAACTCTATACCGTCCCCCTTCTTTTTTCAAGATTCCCATATGCGCCACAAATATGTGCCCATGCATGCTCAATTGATTTAGATGAGGGACTGGTAGATTTTTGTAACAGAATTCTGGTCTTGGAATGGTTGAAAAAATTACAGTAACTAATTCCGTGACATAGCATTTATTTGAAAAAGGATGTCAGCCAGAAAAAAAAATATTTACCCGAAAAAACTTGACAAGCCAAAAAAATTTGTCTAAGCCCGAAAATCCTATTTCGGAGAGGGGGGTCCGACTTATATCAGTCCTATATTTTTTCAGTTATACTACATTACCCCTAGTGGACTATACTTCAACAATAAGTGGGGGTGGGGGCTGTACTTTCAATGAACATTACATTTTCTAAAATAAGGTTATGTCTGGGAAAAGAGGGGGGGCTGATATTATGTGTCTATAATTCGTCCTACTCGGGACCCCCCCCCCCCCCCTTACCAGTCATTAAAACACGGTCGTCAACATTCATTATACTAGATATACAGCTTTCAGATAATGTAAATGTATTTTCACATCAGGTAATGAACTTTTGGAATCAACATGATAAAGAGTTAACACAATATAAGGATATTTTTTAAATCACATATGATAAGAAAGAGTTGACATAACGTAATTATATATCCACATCTCGGAATGGAGTTTTGACATAATGTAATAAAGTGTTGATATAATATAAAGATATGTTCACATTATGTTATACACTTTTTACACCACGTAATAAAGCACTGACATAAAAGTAAGATGTGTTCACCTCACATCATGATGCCCTCGCCGTAAAATAAAGATAAATCCATATCACGTAATAATGCTTTGATATAATAGACATATACATTCTCAAAAAGGAATGGACTTTTGACTTCATGTAATGATAAGTTTAATTATAAAACACAATTTACTTGACGTAATGCAATTTTGACCTCACATATTAAAGAAATGAAATAATATAAAGAAACATTCATTTCACGTAATAAAGATTTAACACAATGTAAACATATTTTCACTTCACATAATGAACTTCCGACTTCAAGTTATAAAGTGCTGACATAATGGAAGAATGTGTTTACTTCATGTAATGCAGCATTGACATGATGTAAAGATATTTTTACATCACCCCATAAAAAATTGATATAACGTAAAAATATGTTCACATCACGTAATGATAGATTGACATAATGAATGCATAGATTTATGCTATAAGGCAGTGATGGCGTTCCATAGGTACCCCTTATATGTATGTTACATATATTAGGGACTCCATATATTTTTCATTTTGGTTTAAGGGGTGGAGAATTAAAAATAAAGATGTGTTGGATCAGAATGCTGCTCGTCTGAGGATTCTGCTATGATCTGTTGGTTTCATTAAATGTTTCAGACGTCTTTCACAATAAACTGACAACATTAATCGACTTCAATCAATCTGCACTATGTGAAAATGTTTCTATATTGACTTGACAAATTATCGTTGTTTTAAGGGCGATTTAAAAAGAATTGTACATTGTACTAATATTTTAAACTCACACCTATATACTCACCCTCCCTCAACCTAACACACACCCTCATAAACACATAAACCCTTACACCCACCCACATACACAGGCACACTGTGAGAGGGAGAGAGAGAGACTGTGAGAGAGAGAGTTGTACATAATATCTATCAGAAAGTTAATTTAAATCCATGATTTAAAATCAGTAATTTTTGGACAATTTTTATGCCCTCGTAAACGAAGTTTCGGGGTATATAGTTTTGTCGTGTCCATCCGTCTGTTTAGATGTCTGTCTGTCTGTTTCTCTGTCTGTCTGTTTGTCCTTGGCCATAACTTTTGATTTAGTAGAGCTATATGGCTTTTATATTTCACATGTGTATTACTTGTGACAAGACCTATTTTGGGTACCACCGAATTTGACCTTTTAACCTTGACCCTGGAGTTTGACCAACTTTTACACAAAAATTTCAAACCTTTTTTTTTTTGGTCGTATCTTTTGATGTAAAATTTTGAGAATTTTTCACTGGTATAAAGTAGCCACAACTTGCCGTTGGAGGGCTGCAAAATGATGCCTTTACTGGGTACTAACATCCTTTAGCAGTGGGGAATCTTTTTCGTCTTTACGTCTACTGCGACAGGGGATATCGGTTTATTCAAAGAATCACTGTGAATTTTATTCTACAGTTAAATATAAGCCAGTTATGCATAAATTACCCCAGGTTTCCTACAATCTTTGATACCCCTGGCATCCCCAACAAACTAGGCAGTGTTTCCTTTTATGAAGTATTTACATTTAATGATATAAAATTGTAAATATAAATTTAAAAAAAAGTAAATCAAACACAAAGACAAATGCATGAGACCTACGCACATAAACCTTCTTGGCTCCTGACCTTTCGTTTGGCGAAATTTACATTCTGGTAGCCAGAATTATATAAAATCAATTCACTTAACTTTCAAAGAGTTATCACAGAGAAAACAAACTGAAATGGATATATAATGTTTATTGATTATATAGGGTGTCAAATGTTGCAAGAAAAAATTTGGAAAATTCAAACCCATAAGCCTACAAGATTCTCCCATTATGACATTAGTACCGAGCGGCCAAAATGGATGCAATCAACATTCTTTGATATTTTATCACATTACACAAAATGACACAGAGCTGGAAATCATGTGTGATGCGGAAGACCGTATCCGAACGACTCGATGCAGTGAAACATCTGATTCTCCGAAAATTCTGATTAACACAAGCATCAAAACAAAAGGTTGTGAATTTAGTCTAATTTTACATTTTGTAAATTTTTAGGCTCAATTTAGCCAAAAAACTTTTACCTAAAGTATTTTTAATAGTCATACTTTGAATTGTGAAACATTTTGTAAACCAGGCAATGAATGGAGATTATCACCAATAATAATATACGACAAAGATAGTATCATCAATCCGCATAATGTCACCATGCAGGGAAGTGGTAGAACAATTAAACTACTATGTATGGCATCTGCATTCTCTGCGACAAAATTGACGGTAATTTTTATGTCTTTTATGTTTTCACCGTATTTTATGTTACAAGTATTAGTTTATGGAAAGGTACATTCTTAATCCAATTCCAATAATTGGGTTGATAATAAAAATATATACCAGTGATTCTCTACCAAAAATTATCATTCAAATTAAATATTTCCCTGTTAGAAACTTCCACTGCATATTTCTTAGCAGTTGACTTTTAGCTCTACTGAGACCAGAAGGGCTTATGCGATAGTAAGGCGTCCGACTGACTATCTGTCTGTAAAGAATTTTTCAAAATGGTTAAACAGTTTTTGTCAGATTTCAATATAACTTGGCTACAAGTGGGCTATACTAAAATACATAATTCTGTTTATCAGTTTTTGATTTCGATGAACTATGTTGCCATTGTTACTAAAAACTAGAGTAGAAAATTTTGTAAAACACATATACTTTCAAAACGCTACTCCTCCTAAAGCCTCAGTCTGCTTTATAACGTAGCACTCACGTAGACTATGCTACGATATCGGTTTTTGATTTCGATGAACAATCGATTTTGTTGTGGTTACTACAATAGTTATATATGTATTTCTGTGAAATACTTCAAAACGCTACTCATCCTTCATCCTCGGTTTGATTACAGTATAACTTGGCACACATGTAGAATACACTATAGCTAAAGATGCATAATTCTTTATACCGGTTTTTGCTTTTGATGAACGATGTTGCCGTGGTTAGTAAAAATGGACATTTCTAGATCTGTGAAATACCTTCAAAACGCTACTCCTCTCGCAGTTGTGGTCTGATTTCAATATAATTTTAAACTCTAGTTACATAATTCTGTTTATGGATTTGGATTTTGATGTCTATTGTTGCTATGGTTTCCATTAATAGAAAATTATTTGAAATATGCTTTCAAAATGTTACTTCTTCTTAAGTTTTTGTTAGATATCAGTGTAATTGGAACATAATATAAGTAAACTACAAAAAGATTTATCATTCTGAATATCAGTTTTGATTTCGATGAAAAGTGCCCTTGGTTATTAAAAATAGAAATTTCTGTAAAATTCTTATAAATGACTACTCCTACCACGGTTTTAATCTGATTGCAATATTTCCATGAAAAGAGACTAATTTAAAGATCATATTTCTATTTATTGCTGTTGCAAAGTTTCAAGTCTATCTGCTACTTTTCTCTTAAGTTCAAAGTACAAACTATTAGAGCTACATCCTCGACAGAGACTTCTGGTTATTAATCAGGTCGGAGAGAATACTCGAAATCGGGTATTATCCGTGAAATCGCGTATAATACCCGATATTAGGGTGTCGTTGAATCCGCGAAATCGGGTATAGGAGGTATAATCACCTAATAAAACTTAAACAATGGGATGGTGCATGTTGCCGAGTTAACTTTCATCTAGATACCCATGTTTTCTAAAGGTATCACTAGCCAAGTAAGAATTTGGGCGTCAAGATTAATGCGCTCTGGACAACAAATACTCGTGGAAGTCAGTACATTTCATGATCTGCACACAAAAAGGCGTTCGATTTGCTTTATATTTTTCATAATGTTGAAAGTATAAGCATCTTCCTAATGTTCATTCCCAACACAACAGAATGGTAAAGTATCAGAATTCGGGAATTTATAATAATTTCACATCAACACGACAAACAAGAACAATTTGTAAATAAATCAAATTATACGGAAACACATTTCACACACAAGATATGATGCTATGTATATACAAGGGATTGTCTATCGTATCTAATTATGCGTCATTAATTACT